CATCAGGACCAAGCATCTGGTGGTGGATGCTACTGGGTTCCTAGAGGCTTGGAACCATGCACGTAATTTCTTTAGTGGTTGAATTCCCTTTTCTTCCCCTCTTTTTGATTTGTGATCATGAGCGTTAACTCGTGTCGTTTTTTGTAGCCGACAGGTCGCCGCCGGCCCCATTGTCTTGGATACGTGAGTGGGTCGAGTCCGTACTCCCCCATACGGTGGGGATACGCACATGGGCGTCTTTCTGGGAGAGGCATGGCCGTAGGCCCGTGGCAGGTAAGAAATTGTTTTCTTCTTCTGTTCCGCTTTGTTTCAACTTTATTTATCAACTTTGTTTTCCTGTGATCAGGGAGGGCACGCCGCGTCAGGGCCCCTCAGTTGGCTTTTCGTCGGCCGGGTGCAGTCGCTCGTCTTACTGCGGCGCCTGTGTCGCGCTCAATACCGAGGGCGGCATCAGTTGAATCTTCAGTGGTTCCTTCTCCGGTACGGGCCGCGCTTCGGGATGAGGGGCCGTCGGGGGTCGTGCGCCCTAGAGCGGAATCGTCATCAGATGGGGAGGAGGAGAGGCCGTTGATAAGGCGTAGGGTCGCGTTCGCGCCGGCTCCTCCTGTGGTAATTAATTTGGACTCCCCCCCGGCGGACGCGGAGAGGAGTGCGGCTGTGGCGCCTGCCCTTGAGGGCGGACAAACACTGGGTGTTGCCCTGGTTGGCTCAGGTCGTAATGATACCGTCGCTTCGGCGACTCAATCGGGGGTTCCAGTCGCTGAGACGGGAGGTAGTTCCTCAGCGGCTGCTAATGTGGGTGAGGCAAGCGCTCCTTCGGCGGACTGCGGCTGGATGCTGTAGGGGGTGAGGATGAGTCTGAATCCGACTTGGATCCCGACGACGTCCGTATGTTCCAGGAAGGTTCCACCAATTCAGCGGTGCGCGCAGGGGGGCGATCTCGCTTCATCGAGGTTCCCACGGAATTGAACTTATTGCTCCAAGGGGAAAGCTTGGTGCCGCAGTTCGAGCTGCTATGCTCGGAGGCTGAGAATGCGTCGTTGAGGGGCGTTACTGATGTTGGACTGATGAATGAAGTAGCCGTGATGGGCTTGAGGGTATGTACTATTATGTCGGTTCGCTTCTTCTTTGCCTTAAGTTTATTCTAATCGTTGCCTTTGCTTTGCAGTCTTATCTGTTGGAGGTGGAGAGCATCCGTCGAGCCAAGGTCCGCTCGGGGATATTTTTGCGGGCGCTGGAGAAGTATCGCCGCTACCAAGATCAGTGCCGAGAGTTGCGCGTGCGCTTGAGGAATGATCCTCGCAGCCGGGCCTTGGTCGAAGAGCTGGCGAGGCGGGAGCTTCAGATGCAGCAAATACTTGGCAGGACGAGTGCTCTCGAGGAGCAGCTCCGCCTAAAGGATGAGGAGCTCGAGGCGGTAAAGAGGGTCGCAGCTGAGTGCGAGCGCCGGGGCAAAGCCAAGGCGGCGGAGGCCGCTGCGGCATGGAGCGGGAAAGTGACCGCGTTGGAGGGTGAGGTCGCGGCATTGAAGCTTCAAGTGAGGGATGCTTCGTCGAGGGCCGGGGCGTTGGAGGAGGCTATCCGCGTGCACGAATCCCAACGGGCATTGGAAAGGGATGCTGCGGCCTTTAGAGAAGCGAGTCTCGAGGAGCGGATTGGTGTCTTTGAGCAGGACGCCCAGGTCATGGCGGACCGGATCACAGCCTTAGAAGAAGAGAATCAGCGGCTACGGGATCAAGCCGCTTCTTCCAGCCAGGCTCGGGAACTTTGGGTCTTTGCCGAGGCCCAACGTGATGTATATAAGATTTTGTGGGAGGCTGGAGTCGTGACCGAGGCTGCTTTCGAGGGGGCACGTCAGAAGGCTCGTGAGGCACATGCCGATTGTGGTTTTGACGCGGCGACGCCAGAGGCTGACGCTGGTGCAGACGGTGGCGCAGACGGCACCGAGTAAAAAGATGTTTATGCATTTTTTCTTGTCTTGTTTGCCGTTTGGCGTTTAGGTGTTTCTTGTTTTTTTTTAATTTCTTGTATTGATCGGCCTTGGCCGGGTGTAAGCGGGGATGACCCGCAATTGACTTTGTAAATATACAAATTTTCTTTTCCATTGCCTGCCTTGTGCTTGTTTTGTCACTGTTTTTCTTTCGTTCTTTAGAGTTTTTGTTGCGCTTTTTGTTGACCGTTCACATTGGCGGCCCTAGTCGAATTTAAATCGACGACTTTAGTCGTGATAGAATCGACGGCCTTAGCCGTGGAGGCAACTTCGACCGTAGTCGAATCTAGGTCGACCGTTGGCGGCGATGGCCCTAGCCATAATATAGTTGATGGCCTTGCTTTTTCAGCTCCGTGCGGGCGAGCCTTGGCCGTTATTTGGCGATAGCGGCGCTTAGCCTTAGTCCCAGTTCGGGCGCGGTCGAACTACCGGTCGTGATAGTAAAAAATGCGGCCTCGTAGTTTGACCGGGGCCGAACTTTACGTGGCCCGAATCTTAATTCGAGTTGGGGGAACTTACTTGAAATGGCGAGGGTGCCTATCCTGCGCTTTGATTTGTTGGAGGTCGGGCTTTGCTTTCACAGATGAAAGCGTTTGGCCTGAGTCTCGGTTCGACTGTGGTTGGACTTGCTAATGTTGAGGACGAAGGCGTCCATTCTTGTAGTTCGAGCGAGGTCGAGATCGTTGGATTCAATAGCGAAGGCGCATAGCTTGAGTCTAGGTTCGACCGTGGCTGGATTTATTGGCGGGGTACGCAGCCGGAGTCCCAGTTCGACTGTTGTTGGACTTTGTTAAATTTGGTGGCGAAGGCTCGTAGCCTGTTTTGGTTCAACTGTGGTTGAACTTGTTGGTGAAGGCGCGTAGCTTGTCTTGGTTCAACCATAGTTGAACTTGGTCGATTTTGACGGCGAAGGCTCATGGCCTGAGTCCCGGTTCAACCGTAGTTGAACTTTCTGTTGAAGGCTCATAGCCTGTCTTGGTTCAACCGTAGTTGAACTTGGTCGATTTTGACGGCGAATGCTCATGGCCTGAGTCCCGGTTCAACCATAGTTGAACTTTCTGTTAAAGGCTCATAGCCTGTCTTGGTTCAACCGTAGTTGAACTCTTTGATGAAGGCACATAGCCTTGATATAAAGGCGAAGGCGCATAGCCTGAGTCCCGGTTCAACCGTAGTTGAACTTTCTGGTGAAGGCGCGTAGCCTGTCTCGGTTCAACCGTAGTTGAACTTGGTCGATTTTGACGGCGAAGGCTCATGGCCTGAGTCCCGGTTCAACCGTAGTTGAACTTTCTGTTGAAGGCTCATAGCCTGTCTTGGTTCAACCGTAGTTGAACTCTTTGACGAAGGCGCATAGCCTTGATATAATGGCGAAGGCGCATAGCCTGAGTCCCGGTTCAACCGTAGTTGAACTTGGTCGATTTTGACGGCGAAGGCTCATGGCCTGAGTCCCGGTTCAACCGTAGTTGAACTTTTTCGATCTTTGATGACGAAGGCTCATGGCCTGAGTCCCGGTTCAACCGTAGTTGAACTTTCTGTTGAAGGCTCATAGCCTGTCTTGGTTCAACCGTAGTTGAACTCTTTGACGAAGGCGCATAGCCTTGATATAATGGCGAAGGCGCATAGCCTGAGTCCCGGTTCAACCGTAGTTGAACTTGGTCGATTTTGACGGCGAAGGCTCATGGCCTGAGTCCCGGTTCAACCGTAGTTGAACTTTTTCGATCTTTGATGACGAAGGCTCATGGCCTGAGTCCCATATTATGGGTATTGAGTGCTGAAGCTCGGTTTGGATTCGAGACCTTGAGCGGCTCATCCGTTGTCTTCCCAACTAGGGTTTATAGGCTGTCTTGAGGCGATTCTCGATTCGAGATTCCTCCGTGCTGGTTTCCGGCTGGAGCCCTTATCAGGGATGTGGGAGATCTCTTACGAACATTCTCCCCAAAAGAGAGGGGGGATGGCTTCTTCTTCTTGTTTGCACCATCCGATAGATGAGAGACAGAGGAACTGGATCTCGATTCGAGATCTTCGATTTCCATCGGCCTTATCTGCCGCTTTGGCTTGTTTATGCGGGTCTGCTTCTTCTTTTTCCGGCGTTTCTTTCCTTTTGGTCCATGGAAGAACTACGCGATTTTGCTATGAAATCCCCACAGATGGCGCCAAATTGTTTGCTCAAAAGTTATCACCTATCTTATGAGTGCAAAACAATACAACTAATCACGGGAAAATCATAGCAAATCGTAATAATCCGTCGGACCAAATGAAAGAAACGAAAATAAGTACTCAGAATTAGGGGGAGAAACATTAAAAGTCTTTATTGATAATATTTGTTTGGTCTGCCTCTCCATGAAGAGGTTCAGAGCCTTACCATGGTGTTTTCTCTTCCCATAAGATAGGTATATTTTTCCCTTCTCTCTCCTGTCTATCGTAGTGAAGAAGCAGCCCCCCATTTCTAGGGGCCCCTCTCTTGGTATTTATAGCTGTGGTCTTCGTGAGCTGGCAATAAGTGGCCGTGACCACGTTGAGATCTCGCCTCTATAGTGGCGGATAGGCCAGGGCCTTGTTGACCAAGCCAGAGGCGGGTTGAACGTCGTCAATTCTGAGTGGTCGTGCCACTAATTAATCATGAATTAACTTAAAACGGGTTAGCCTCGTTAATTGTCGTGGGGTCGAATTCTGACCCATACAGATAATATACAATCTTATACTTTATATATGAACTTGCTAAGTTCTAGATATCAGTTTGGTTTACTCTTTTACTAAATTCAAACTGAAAATTAGTCGATGACTGAGTCAAAACAAAAGAAAAATAATTGTTTCTGTGATGAAAATGCAAAATTAGCCAATTGGAAGTTGTAGAGAAACTTAAAGCTTCTCAATTGTTGAAGAGAACCTAGTACTTCCATTCTTTAGTTGTTTACACCATTAATTACTGAATGATAATTGACAAAGATTGTACATTACTTTTTCCTACATGGAGGACTACAAACTTTAGAAATCAATATAAACACAGATCAAAAGTTTTAAGCAGAGAATCTATATAAGCCATTATCAACAAGCTAAATTTGTCGTTAAGTCGAAATACTCCTTTACCAAAACCTAACCACCCCAAAAATCCATGAAGATGGGCAGCTTTCTTAAGCAAAAACACAAACATCTGGTATGCAAAACTACTCATCACAATCTACACTACCATCACCCTCAAACCCCCCTCCAATTTCACAAATCTTATCCCAAAAACCCTTCTCCACCGGTACAACCGACAATCTGGGCTGTCTAAAAAGCCCAAAACCTTTCAATCCTTCATCTTTCTTCATCTCCGCCAGGTCCACAGCCCTCCTCATCTCACCAACCGCCTTGACATCAACCGCGCAGCCGCCACCATCGTCATCATCATCTGTGTACCATTCACGCGCCACTGAAACAACACCCACCACGCGCCGGGCTTTGGACCCGGAATGGTAGAAGAAACAAAGGTCTCCTATGTTCATGGACTTCATATACTTCTGGGCTTGCTTGTTTTTCACTCCGTCCCACTTTGATATACCGCCGTTTGCTTCTTGGTCGTCCCATGACCATTCTCCTGGCTCTGTTTTCAGTAACCAGTACTGTGTTTTTTTCCCCATTTTTAACCTGACCTTTGAGCTTCTTCCATTTTGTATTCCTTTTTATATTACTATTTGTTTGGCGGGAGTTCAACAGGTTTGGCGCCAAATATTTTTTTTTTCTTTTTAAATGATGTACTTGGTAATGACATTGTTACACCCATGTTTTCGTAGTGAAAGTGCTCTATAAATAAATTAATGGAAGCTCGAAAATGAGATGTTGCATCCCATATTTTCGAACGTTAAAGTTTTGTCGTAAGTTAATCGACGTAAGTTTGGGAATGTGATTATTTTTGAGGTTATAAGTATTATGTTATTTCAAACAAGTGATAAGTAAATTCGTGAAAGTGAGAGGGTAAGCAAATGGAAGAAAATGAATTTCGTCAAAGTTTGACATTTTGTGATAAAATATGGTCCGAGCTATAATGCTCGGTATTTATGGACTAGTATCATACAAGGTACCACATGACCATGATAGTAGGGGTTTTGACACAGTTACCCATAAAAACAAAACTATTTACCCTTGTCTACCCATTTGTTTTCCTACCCATAAACTAATTACATTTCCTATCCATAGTAGGTTTTGTGGGGAATTTTTTCTTTATTCTCCAATTCTTTTATTATTTCTATGCTTATTTTCTTTTTCTTTCTTTTCTCCTTTTCTTTTTTCTCGTTTTCTTCTTATTTTTTTCTTTTGTCCTTTTCTAATTTCATTTAACTTCTTTTTTTTTATATTCTTTTTCTCTTCATAATCTAATTTCATTTACTGTTTTCACTATTTTTTATTATTCTTTTTTTTATATTATTACTAAAGAAAAATCAAATTGTGTACCAATTAAATGTAGCTAATACAACCAAAAAAATATTAGCTAACATATGATACTAGTATAGTATATAGCTATACCAACAGGGTATACAATTGTACGCAATGAGTTAAAAAAATTAATTCAATTATTAAACTAAAATAATATCAGTTGTCAATAAAAAATTTAAAAAATTCTAAAAGCATCTAATTGTAAGAGTATACCGTTACATCATATAGCATACTATAATTTTTTTTTTTTTTGCATTTTTAATTTGCCCCTCACGCTGGGTAAAACCTTAAAACAAATTAAAAGGGAAAAGGCAAGTGAATTTACGGGTAATAAGTACACTATTATAGTATATTGTATACTATTACAGCATATTGTTACAGTATCTTGCATATTATTACAGTATACCATAACAGTATATTGTATACTATAATAGTATACTGTTGCAGTATAACTATATACTCCTATAGTATATTAGTATATTGTAGCGGTATACTGTTTTGTAAACTATAATAGTGTACTATTGCAGTATAGCTATATACTCCTATAGCATATTGTATACCGTAGCGGTATACTGTAGCTGTGTTCTTCGATTTTCAACTGAAAATTTCGATCTCAATCACCTCAAATTAGGTCCAAATGCTATCAAATTTCAGTATGAACTTCCATAAGGTACTATAAGCAATATTTAACAGCACCACTTTGAATCAAACAAGAAATCTTCAAAAATAAAATTGAGCTTCAAGCCCAACAATGGTGGATATTCAGATAGAGAAAATCTCACTTTATTGATTCCAGTGGTGTGAGACAAAACTAGCGGGTAAATAGTTTGGGGAGTATGGGTAGGAGTAGTATTGATTCTCTCGTGGAGGGATTCCATAGCAAAAGTATGGAGTGTTCGTCACTAATATTATCAGAGACCTCGATAATAACCAAGCCATCGCAACAACAATGGACCACGCATTGCCTTGGTTTAGAGCTTGAACAGAAGTCAAGTTTTTGCACAACTTCAGCATGTTGAACCGACGTTAAAGAACAACAATACATGGAAAATATACCATCCTTAAGTCAAAGTTGATTCCAGTGGTGTGAGACAGAACCAGCGGGTAAATAGTTTGGGGAGTATGGGTATAAGTAGTAAATAGTTTGAGTCTGGGCATTAAAGAGTAAATAGTTTGGAATTAGTGGGTACAAAGTGAAATTTTCTCATGATAGTAAGGTATATAAAGTGTATTAAAAGTGAGTAGTATTTTAAGTAGTATTAAAATTGTTGTATAATTATTGAGGGGGCAATATCCACGTGGGGGATATGTAAACATGGCAGCACATTGCCACCAATTCATGGCCTAAGTAGGTGGTGGCATAATATAATCCAAACTTGAAATAAGATTCATTTTGCTGGACCATTGGAAATAAGTGTATTTTCCAATCATGAAAGTTGGATGGGTGAGTTATGCATTAAAAAGCACTCCAAATTAATTATTCTTCCAAGCCAAAAGATGATGTCTTGTAATAAAGACCAAATCCAGTAGTGACCAAGAACGCAAGAGATGGAACGTGAAATTTGCTTCGGAAAAATTCATACAAGATTCGATTATGCGAAAGATGCAATTCTAAGGAAGTACGGTATAATTTTTCTCAAGAATATCATAGGGATTTTTCCCTATTCCGATCATGTTATTATGTGTTTTCGCAAAAGAGAATCGGTTCGGATATGTTAAGGTTATTCCTTCTTCCTTTTGGCATGATCTATACGACAAACGAAACGGGCAAATGCACAATTTTCATAAATGAATCTATTCATAGAAATACCAGGAGTGACTATATTCTTGATTCCCCATGTGAATTATTATTATATCTTCAGTTCATGGGTCTCAGAAAAATACGTATTTCATAAAGTTTATCCGAAAGGCATATTGATTTTTATGGCATTTCGAGAAAATCTTATTAACATGTTTCTCATGCATTTATACATGTACACTGACCCATGATCAGATGGCGTTATATACGCGTATATATGTATATTATATTTATATGGAATATGGAAAAAGATTACGGCGTTATATACGCACCACCACCTGATCAGCTGGTATACGTTGACGATTTTGCCCATAGAGGCCGAGATGATATGATGGGATGCCCTCAGAGGCTTGATGATGTTATGAACACATGTACCTATGCACGACATGACATTCATACGCATATGCATGACACTATAAGTATTTCATGATTTACAGAGTTATTCAGACTTACAGGTTGAGTCATCTACTCTATATTTCTTCCATGTCTTTTATGTACTTATTTATGTGCCTTACATACTCGGTACATTATTCGTACTGACGTCCCTTTTGCATGGGAACGCTGCGTTTCATGCCCACAGGTCTCGATAGACTGGTCGAGAGTCCTCCAAGTGGGCGAGCAGCTCAGCGGAAGATGCTGGTGCACTCCATTTGCTCCGTAGTTGCTTGTTTGGTCAGTATGATTTAGATGTGTATTGTTTGGTATGGCGGGGCTCTGTCCTGGCCTTTATGACCATTATGTATCCTTAGAGTCTTGTAGACAGTTATCATGTACGTAAATGATTGTATGACTTTGTCAGCCTATGTTCAGTGTATGAGTGGTTATTTTGGTCTTAGAGACTCATATGTCTTATGTATAAGTTGACATTACGTGTTGTATTCTACCTACTTCACGGCAGCCTCTACGGCTCAGTATTCTATGATAGTATGATACGAAAAGATACGTTATGTTGGTACTCGGTTGAGTAAGGTACCGGGTGCCCGTCGCAGCCCATCGATTTGGGTCGTGACAGACATGGTAAATGATAAATCTACAGAAATTAACATGACTTACTTTCAAAATTATGGTAGTACATTGTTTCAACATTAATCACTTATCTTGATCGAATTAAACCGATGTAAATATAATTGAGACTATTGGAAAATTACAGAAAATCTAATTTTAATTACAAGTAAACAGAAAAACCAAAATATAGTAGATATCATCATTTTTGTAATCGAAAAAGGGCCAAAAATGTCCTTGAACAATTTGAAATTGCTTAAAAATAACCTCCGTTTCTTTTTGGTACCAAAAATATCTCTGTCGTCTATGTTTTGGACCATAAATGCCCCTTAAACCGTTAGTCTTGCCATTGAAGCTGACATGGCAGTCCAACTGGGTTAGATTTGCTTACATGGCCATCCACCTAAGCAATCCAGCATGGCAAAAAGTTTATTTGTTCTTGAATCCTAATCACAAAAAAGGAAATCAAAACATTAAAAATCACCAAAATAGTTCTTGATTGGGGTTTATGATTTGATAAAAAACTCCATTGTTCTCTTTTTTGAATTTATGATTAGTTTGATCTAAATTTTTAGATGCTTATCTGTTATAGCTTCACAACATCAACCCAACAATCCCTAGTAAGATTCGGATCAAACCAATCATAATTTCACAAAACGCTTTTTCAGATTATCAAGTTTTTAAGAACTCTTCCATGAAGGTTTTTTTGGGGGGGGGGGGGGGAGGGGTAGGGGGGGGGTTAGCTTAGATGTTCAAACCAAGAAATTAGTTGTTATAGTTCAATTTTTAGTTCCAATCGCAATATCGAAGCAATGTACAGTAACATACAATTAAAACTCTTAAAATTTGATAGCAATTATTTTCAATAACCTTGTATACGGTCGAAATACCCGATCTCTCAGGCCCAAGGGTCGTCTTAAGCCCGAGTTCAGGCAAGGTCGAGTTCGAGCCCGATGGAACATACTCGAGCTCGAAGATAGGATGTAATGCCCGAAGATCAAAGTACGATGAATACCGAAGCTGAGTATGGTCGACCCCGAAATAATGCCATTATGGATTTCTAACAGAATGAGCCAGATTCCTGCCACGTCCCCAAAATCATGGCGCAAATCCCGGAATAGAATTGTACGATTTCGTACTAGGCGGTTAGACAGCTGTCCCAATAAGATTCCTTACTGTAAATGAAAATGTACCTTATTTAGGGTTTCCCTATTATATAAAGGGGACCCCAATCATATGTAAATATCATCTAATCATTAGCAAAGAATATACTCTCTACTTTTCGCTCATTGTTCATCAAAATCGTCCTTTATCTTTATTGTTCTTACTTTATTGTTCTTAATTCATCTCGAGGTCACTAAAGCTCGAGGTCGATACTACTTATGTAACATTGGTTTGATTCACGTATTTCCTTCATTTA